AGATCAGCCCCAAAGCGCAGCTGACAGCGGTCGTAGAGATCGGCAACTGTCGGTATAAGGCTACGATTGACACAGGGGCCACGAGTAGCTTCGTTAGCGAGAAGCTAGCTCATGGACTGATCAACGTAGGCCGACGAAGCGCAACCGCACGTCGAGTCCGGTTGGCAGATGGCCGAAACAGCGGAGTCCGAGAACAAGTCGAGGTGAACATCAGACTAGGGCTGAGGAACATGGATATTGCCCTACTGATACTCCCAGGAGTCATCGACGACTTAGTCCTCGGATGGGACTTTTTGTCTGGCATGGGTACAGTTTTGGAGTGCGCAGGGTTGCTAGTAAGCATTCCAAAATGCGAGACAAACCATCAAGAAGAGATGTTGTCGGTTGCCAAAACGGTCGAAACACCAATACATCCGGACGCAGAGATTGATCAATTTTTGCGAGGAGAATTGGCGGCATTTGGGGAAATAAAAGGAACATCGCCTATAACTGAGCACCGCATTGTCATGAGCGACGATCGGCCAATTAAACAGCGGTACTTCCCTAAAAACCCCAAAATGCAAGCCGAGATCAACAAACAGGTGGATGACTTGTTGACCAAAGGGTGCATCGAGCCCTCCAGAAGCCCACACAGCGCACCAATCGTGATGGTGAAAAAGAAAACGGGAAAATGGCGTCTCTGTGTGGACTTTCGGCAACTAAACGGCAAATCTATAAAAGATGCATATCCGTTGCCGCGAGTCCACCACATTCTGGACCAGCTGAGAGAGGCAAAATTCATATCGAGCTTGGACCTGAAAGATGGATACTGGCAGATCCCGATGGAGAAGGAGAGTCGAGCGTTGACGGCATTCACAGTTCCAGGGAAAGGACTGTTCCAATGGAAAGTAATGCCATTCGGACTCCATTCGGTTGGACCCGAAATGATGCCGCATGCGTTTGCATATTTGGACGACATTATCGTAATCGGGAAAACACGCGAGGAACACATGGACAACTTAAGAGAAGTGTTCCGACGGTTGAGAGCAGCGAATCTGAGGATCAACGTGGACAAGTGCGACTTCTTCAAAAAGGAACTTAAATACCTTGGCCATCAGGTGACCGAAGAAGGGATACGCACGGATCCGGAGAAAGTAGCTGCTATCGCCGAGTTGAAACCCCCTGGAAACGTAAAGGAACTACGACAGTACCTAGGAGTGGCATCATGGTACAGGAGGTTCGTACCAGATTTTGCCACAACAATACACCCATTACACACACTATTGAAGAAAGGTACAAAATGGGAATGGACCGGAGAGCATCAAGAAGCTTTCGAAAAAGTCAAAGCTAAGCTAACACAATTCCCTGTGCTAACATGCCCAGATTTCTCAAAGCCATTTTGCTTGCAGACGGATGCTAGTAATTATGGCTTGGGAGCGATACTGACCCAAGACTCAGAGGAGGGCGAACGGGTCATATCGTATGCAAGCAGATCTTTAAATGGTGCGGAGCGTAACTACTCTGCGACCGAAAAAGAGTGCCTTGCAATAATCTGGGGCATAAGGAAGCTAAGACCGTACCTGGAAGGATACCACTTCACTGTCATCACGGATCATATGGCACTGAAGTGGCTGAACTCCATCGAAAGCCCATCAGGTAGGATTGCGAGATGGGCACTGGAACTGCAACAGTTTGACTTTGACGTCAAATACAGAAAGGGAAACCTTAATGTTGTTGCAGATGCCCTATCCCGACAACCCCTGAAGGATACGTGCCTCAGAGTCTCGACTATGGACGACGCGATGGACCAGGCAAACAAATGCTGTAACTGGATCCAAAAGATGCGGTCCGACATAGCGAAAAATCCGAGGAAGTTCCCAGACTATAGTGAAGAATCCGGCAATCTCTATAGACACATCCCGCATAGAGCTGGAACCGAGGATGTGGTAGCCTGGAAACTATGTGTGCCCACCGGAAAGAGAAGGCAAGTGCTAATTGAAAACCACAACACCGCCACCGCAGGTCATACGGGCAGCAGGAAAACAATAGCCCGAATAGCAGCACGCTACTATTGGCCAGGCTTATACAGAGACGTACGTGCATATGTCCAACAATGCGAAATATGTCAGCAGTATAAGCCAAGTCAAATGACCGCGGCAGGACAAATGCTGACCAAGATAGGGACCACTACCGAGATCGACCCACGGAAACACAATGCTGTTGGTCTTTATAGACCGCTTCTCGAAATGGACGGAAATGGTACCACTCCGAAGCGCCACTACAGCAACGCTACAAAAGGCCTTCAGGGAAAGGATTCTCGCGCGGTTTGGAGTACCTAAAGTTTTAATAACCGACAATGGAACACAATTTACAAGTCGGGCATTACAAAATTTTCTTGAAGAGATGGGAATCAAACATCAATTCACAGCGCCCTACACTCCACAAGAAAACCCCACTGAATGCGCGAATCGCACGGTGAAAACAATGATCGCACAATTCACCAAGGACAACCAAAGACGTTGGGATGAAGCTCTACCCGAGCTGACACTGGCAGTTAACACCAGCGTCTCAAGCTCCACCGGGTACAGCGCGGCGTTCGTAACACAAGGCCGAGAGCCTAGGCTGCCAAAGGCGTTGTTCGACGAGGTGACAGTCGGAACAGGCCAAGTAGCTCAAACACCGTCCGACAATGCAAAGAAACTAAAGGAAGTATTCGAAATTGTCCGGCGGAGTTTAGAAAAGGCAGCACAGGACCAAGCAAGGCACTACAACCTGCGTTGTAGACCGTGGAAACCAAATATCGGAGACAAAGTGTGGGTGAAATTACACCACCTGTCGAATGCGGCAGAAGGATTCGCGGCGAAGCTAGCACCGAGATACGGGGCCCGTACCAGATTGTGGATTTTACCTCACCCGAAATATGCAAGATAAAGGGCATAACGGACAGGCGGATAAGGACAGCACACGTGAGCGACCTGAAGCCGCACAACGACCGGAAGGATACGGGTGAGCATGAAAATTCCAAACACTAAATTTTGCCAAAATTCCAATCAATATAACAGCGCCGTAAGTCACATTTTTTTTCTTTCCCTACATAAAAAGAGGGGGAAAATAAATGTGGTCTTATACATATATGACACATTTATAAATATATATACAAATAATTAAATATAAGCCCAAAAGAAAGGGTATAAAACAATTCAATTAAAAAAAAAAAAAAAAAAACCCAAAGGAAAGGCTATAAAAATAATTCAATAAACACCCAGAGGAAAGGGTATAGAAATAATTCGATATAAACCCAAAGGGACGGGTATAAAAATAATTCAATATAAAAAAATAATAAAAAAAAAAATGTGTAACTACATATATATGTGTATAAATAATGTTGGAATAAATGTAAATACATAACAGCGCCCCAAGGCGGGCCCAAAATTCAAAAACAAACAAAGGCGGCCCTGAGCAAGGCGAATAAAAAAAACAATTACGCTGATCAGCCTTACAGCGGAAGAGCGAAAAGGGAAACATGCAAAGAGAGCGCATGGCCATGACCTACACATCGACCGCAAACGTACGAGATAAAGATCAACGGCCGCCAAAAACTTTTTGCTCAGCAACGCGCTTGCAAATTAAAAATGCAATAACAATGCGGGAGCGAGCGCATATGTACGCGCAAGGGAAAGGGAACATGCAAAGAGAGCGCATGACCATGACCTAGAGTCGACCGCAAACGTACATGCTAGAGAGCCACGGCCCCTAAAACGTTCGCTCAGCAGCACGCTTGCACACAAAGTGCAACGATAATATTTGAGCGAGCGGACATGCACGCACAGCGAAAAAAGTCAACGCACCCAAGAACTAATCAGTCGCGCGTTTGCGCACAAAAAGGGCAACAACAATTGCGCACATGCGCCGTTGGTTACTCACCCACAGCTTTTCTCTATTTACATTTTTAGGCCGTTGTCTCTCCTTAGGTTGGAGAGCGGAAGCTTTCCGCTGCCGAAGAAAGAGGGGAGTGTGAGGAGCCATAGAAGCATGCTCTTGTATGCATGCATATATGTGTATGTTTATGATTATAAACTATATATATATATATATATGTATGTTCACGAATGCGCATACAAAATGCCCGTGAGCATGTTATATGCGCCCTCACAACAACTGTCCATTCAGACCGAAAACCGGGCCTGATGCAGTTGCGGCGAATTCGCTCTCTTTCGCCCTCTCCCTTTCTAACGCGGGTGTTCAGCCATTTGAATGCGTCTGACACACATGTCCATCAGGACATGTGCCGTTAGTGTGGGAAGAGTATTGCGAGAGCAGTACTGTTGTCCATACTCACACTGACGGCAGACAATGGCTGGCGCCGGCAAAAGAGCAGTGGAAAAGTACCAGAAAATCACGCCACCAGAAGATCACGCCACCAAAAGATCACGCCACCGAGGTGCAGTCCCGGCAAAAGGTGGCCAGCCACGGCCTATAAAAGGAGCGCCGCCGCATAAGGCGAAGGAGTTCAATTACAAACGCGAGAAAGTAAACACGCTGTGAAAGTAAACAAGCTGTGCAAATTAAACAAGAGAAGCTGCGCGTATATACACGGAGCGAACATATGTGCGAGTGAAAGCCAGCCGCAGTTGCATTTGCAGCGATAGCCACTGCATTCGCAGCATTGGCACCCGCTGGGCCTGCTCCACTGACGCTCACATTGCCCTTGCCTCTACGCTGTCCCTGGCTTTTTAGCACCTTTGCTGGTGCCACAAGAGCCGCCAGCTCTGGCCGCAACACCAGCTGCGAGGGAGCTCGCCAGTGCATTAGCGTGGGCTTTACCACCCCCAGCTGAAATACCCACGCCCGGATTAACGCCTGCCTAACCGCCGGCACCCGCTCTTCCGGCAAGAGAAGGTACAGGCTTGAGTAAAGACCAGGCGTTGCCGCGCGCATACCCTACCGAGCCCTGCAAAGTAAAAATAATAATAAGCAAAATATTATTTTGTTATATAATGCGGAGTACACCAGCTGACAGAAAATATTTAATTGTTAAGTTAAGCGACCGACCGATAACTATGGTAGTTATATAAATGATGTAGTAGTCAGATCGTACTAATGGATAATTTAACAGGAAACAAATATGGATATTTAAAGAATAATAGAGGCGGACATGGCCATATGGACTTGACTATTAACGCCGATCTAGATTCTAGAATATATGCACTTTGTCGAGTTGATCAAATCTGTAATATTATCATAAGAGCCTTGGCAATAGCAGTTGACAACGATGCGAAAGACTCGGAAAAGTAAGCACGAGAACCACGTAGTGCGATAAAGCGATAAAGGAGAAACTTTTGCATCAGTTATGGCTCTTATCTTCCTGGCAATTATCGTCCTGCCTCATGGCTGTTTTGGCCACCTTGGCCATGTGCGATTCAAATGCATTCGCGTCCGCAATTCGTTTGACGCCCTTCTGCATTTGGACGGGCTGGACGGCATTTTGACCCATACTATTCAGAGTCGGCTGGATGGCCACTATGGCATCACCATCCAATGCTGCAACAGCCGCTGCCAGCACTTTTGCAGCTGCTACTGATGCTGATGCTGCTGCCTGGACTTGGGCTGCCGCTGCTGCTACCGCCACCAGCTTTTGTGCCCTGGAGGATTCTGACGCTCTTCCTGTCGTTGTTGCTGTTGCTGTTTTTGCTGTTGTTGCTGCCAGTGTTAAATTCTTACTCTTGGTGCTGATGCTGTTGCTGCTATTCCTGCTATTATTTGCGCTTTGGACGGCTGCCATCGCTGCCGCCGCAGATGCTGCTGTTTTAGGGGAGGTCGGTGCGCGTTGATTTTTGTTGCCCCGCTTGACCGCGACGGACCCCAGTTCGAGCTCCTCCTTGGGCATATCTTTGATTGCCTGCAGAAAGACACTCTCGAGCACTTTGGCCATAATGATAACATCCTCTGTGGGCTTATTGTACAGGGAACAATTGGTGAATATCAAGTTTATATCGGCGGCAGCCTCCGTGGCGGACCAATAGTAACTGTTCGCCAATCGCTTCTTAATCGTAGCCAAGTCCATTGGCTGTTTAATGATATCATGGTAGTCGGGCAGCTTTAGTTTTTTCGCATTGACCGGCTGTTGGAAGGGATACGCATAATGATGATTCCACAAGGACTTCATAACCGTTTTTAAGATATATTCCAGTTGATTTGTATGGCGTCCCGGTCGATCCAACCGCTGCACAGTCGGTGGCTGGACGACGCCATTGACTGGTTTGTTGGATGCCATTGTTCTTATGTTCTATATTATATGGAGACATATGGATATATATATTTATATATATTATTATTTTTAAAAATCAAATAACTTGTTGATGCTTCGGGTGCTTATTTTGTCCCAAAAACCAAAGCCAACCAGAAACCTCAAACCACTACTTAAATAATGTCAGACACAAGCCCGAGGCTTCTCGTCCTCAGCAAATTATTGTCAACTGTGAATTGATAATTGGTTGCTTTCAGTTTCTTCCTTTTTGCAATGTTTGATTTACCATTTATCAGCTGCACCTTTTTCTCTTCTACAATTTAATACAATTATATAATATTATATGTTTTTGCTCTTGAGACTGCAACACAGAACAGAAGTCAGCAAAATGCGTAAGAAAAAAACTAAATCCGCTCACAAGCAAATAAATTTATCAATTGATATTTGTGACAAGCAGATGACAACTAAGGTAAATTTCTATGTTAACATTTAGATCAAAATGACATTTGGAAATTTTAAAAAATTGATGGCTTATTTGATATTGCTGTCAATATCCAATATAAGCATGAATGTAAATGTAAACAAGGCTTTTCAGCCTTGTTTATTGATTATCGATAAGTCGAGTCGAAGAAGCTTTTTGGCAAGAAGAACTGCTTTTTACGGTATTTGGACAAAAGAATAATATTCGCTGAGCAATTATTTTATTTCACTCTTGGGATATATAGATTCTGGTTACCTACAAAAATGATCTAATATCTGGTGAACTGGCGAATGAATGGAACTTCATAATGCATAATAACATTTTCGAGTGATTAGATTCTTAGATGACTTCATAATCCTTGAATGCAGTTCGTTTGTTTTCTCTGAGTCCTGCAGGTATCTGGCATTGCCCTCTTCACGATATTCCTGCTCCAGCTCAACGTAAGTACAAAAACTCACTCATATATAATTTTTTATCAATCCTATTTCTGGTTTTTTTTTCATAAGTTTTGCTTCAAAACATGTACTAAGTGTACGCATTAAAGGTAAAATATGTATAAGTTGTTAATGCATTTTCATTAATAGTAGGCTTACTAAAAATTGTTAAATTGTTATTTTGCATTTCTGAATTTTACACTCGTAAATACGTACTACTACTACTGCGGGCCTAGCATCGGGGCTAGATTAACAACAGCTTCACTCTCGCTTCTCGATTCTTATGTTCCACTTTGAGTCTGTTTTAGTTCAGTTGACTAAGTTTACATTTTAGTGTTGTGTCGCTTTCAATATTATTGTTATTAACTATTATGTGTTCTATGCATTTTTATAAGGCTAAATCGTTTACTAAGCGCATTTAATATTATTTGTTTAAATATATATGTATATATTTATATATATATATAATGAACTATATATATGAATGTATGTTACATGGGCTTTCGTAATCGTGTCAACTCAGTTTAGTTATAACAGAAAATGTCAGGCTTTTTTTTTTCTTTTTTTTTATGTAGCAATTTATTTAAACATTAATCAACCTACTGAAAGGCTATAAAACATTGATTTGTACAGGTATGAATGAAAAATAGCAGTGAATTAAAATCTATAACATAAACATAGAACTGGTTTTAGCAGATAATAAATAACCTTAAATATTACATTTGTAGCACATTAATTGATCGCCCAGTCCAGAGGTAGCTGGTGTGGAGGCGCTTCAACCTCCTGCGCGTTGTATTAGATCCAAGTGTGCAAGCCAGAGGGTTGATGTGGTTATACAACCGGTCATTATACCGACACGTATGACGGTTAATTTGTTGTGTGACTGTCTGTAGAGCGAAGGCGTTGTGCAGCGTCCTGTTACTCACGTATGGGGTAGCACCAGAGATGTCTCTGAGCACCTTGTTCTGCAAGACTTGAATTTGGTCTATCCAAGATTTTGAAGCTGTGCCCCAAAATGGAATCCCATATGTTCATGTGGGTACGATGATGCTCCTGTACACCAGCAGCTTGTTGCTCAAGCTGAGTTTGCTAGATGGCCTCAGCAACCAGTTGAGTTTCGTTTTTTTTTTTATCTACACGCTGCTGCCGTGATATGGATGTGTTTGCGCCAGGTAAGTTTCCTGTCCAGATACATACCCAGGTAGCGAACATGGTTCTCCTGAGGTATGACCATGTTGTTGAGTCGAACAGTAGGACAGTTACCATTCCTGAGCGTAAACGTGCAGTGCTGAGATTTACTCTCGTTGACGCAGATGTTCCATAAAAGAACGGCCAAGTAAGCCAGACCTGAGCAGTAAATACTGCGCCGATAGTAGCAAGGACTTAAGCTTCAAATTCAGGCCATCATGCCATACGCGATCAAATGCCTGCTGGATATCCAGAAACACGGCAGAGCTGTTCTGCTTATTTTCCAAGGCCTCGAGGACATGCTGTATTACTCGATGAACTTCCTCGGGTGTACCATGGCGATGCCTGAAGCCAAACTGATGATCAGGAATGGCCCTCTGGAAGCCACTGCCGACAATCTTCCCAGAAATATTTTTTCAAATATCTTGGAGAAACTGGGGAGCAAGCTTACCGGTCAGTATGACAAAACAAGATTATCCGGCTTGCCAGGTTTCGGAATCATCGCAATCACAGCGCACTTCCACGGAGTGGGAAAGTGGTGGATGCGAACCATGGTGTTAAAAAGTAGCACCAAGAACATCACTCCCTTCTCTGGGAGGGCCTTAGCAACTCTGCCGTCAATGCCATCATAGCCAGGGGCCTTTTTTTTTAATTTTTTCATTGGCATATAAATAAATATTTATATATATTTATATATATATATATATATACATATATATTGTGAGGAGCCATAGAAGCATCCACTTGTGAGCATGCATATATGTGTATGTTTATGATTATAAACATATATATATATGTATGTTCACGAATGGGCATACAAAATGCCCGTAAGCATGTTATATGCGCCCTCACAACAACTGTCCATTCAGACCGAAAACCGGCCCTGATGCAGTTGCGGCGAATTCGCTCTCTTTCGCCCTCTCCCTTTCTAACGCGGGTGTTCAGCCGTTTGAACGTGTCTGACACACATGCCCATCAGGACATGTGCCGTTAGTGTGGGAAGAGTATTGCGAGAACAATACTGTTGTCCATACTCACACTGACGGCAGACAATGGCTGGCGCCAGCAAAAGGGCAGTGGAAAAGTACCAGAAAATCACGCCACCAGAAGATCACGCCACCAAAGATCACGCCACCGAGGTACAGTCCCGGCAAAAGGTGGCCAGCCACGGCCTATAAAAGGAGCGCTGCTGCATAAGGCGTGGCTGTTCGATTAAATACGCGAGAAAGTAAACAAGCTGTGCAAATAAAGCAAGAGAGGCTGCGCGCATATACACGGAGCGAATATATGTGCGAGTGAAAGCCAGAACACCAGTGAAAGTGCAAGGATACGGAGTGTCAAACTCAACAAGGATCACAGGACATCGAGGTCCTGAAATTAGGTGCGAGCCGTATATCCTTGCCACGCTTGAATTGTGGCAACAGGCGATATCCGCAAGGAACCAAGTGAAGCAAGCGAGGCTTGGTCTGTGATTAGCCAGAGAGTGAGACACGCGAATCCTGACTCACAAAAGGACTAGGTGCAATCCTTGGGAAAACAAGGAAGCCGTTAATCCTGGTGAACGTCAGAAGTGCTGTACGGAATCTCTGGCGGGCAGACTGAGATCCTGGGCTTGCATAGCTGGTGGCGGAGTGCCTGGGGCAGATTCTGGCGCACAAGAGCTCGAATCAAACCTGATCAAGGATACCGATGCGTGGCGAGACGCTACGGAACCAGTAATAATTAAGCGATCAGAAAACCAACAGTGAAAAGTGTAATTTCAAGCAATACAAGTGAAATAAATAAAGCAAGTTTTAATATATTGATGTTGTGTTATTAATTATCGCAAACGCAATATAAATTTGTTGCTCGAACCCACAGCTCGACTGAGTTTTAGCCTAGCTAAAACACCACCTAGCAAACAGGTTCGTTACAACTGGCGCCCAACTTTGGTGGTTGCAATAAATTAAAAACTCACATTAAATATTAAAAATAAAATAAAATAAAAGTGGTTCGCGCGTGGGTGTACAATTTAAAAAAAGACGAAGTGCTGAAATATGGAGCTGAATTCAAAGTGGAGTTATCCGGAACTTTGGATGCTATGCGCAGACAATTTGGAGTCTGGGTGAATACTCACGAAAAGAGATTGCCATATAGCACAAGATTGGAGGAACTAGCGGCGATTCACGGCAGACAATCGCCGACCAGAGAACCGGAAAATGGTGCAGATGCAAGAGAGTCGACAAATATAAATTTCGCCCAGCTGAGCATCCCGGCAACAAGCGGAGCAGCGCGGACTCGAGACGCCAATCATACTCTTTGGGGGGTAGCGTCCACACCACAGCCACAAATAAGAGTGTCCATAAATGAACAAGCGGCACCGACTATGTCCCAGGAATACCCCAGAGCAGCGAAACAAGTCCGCGAATGGAATTTTCGTTGACGGCATTCACAGTTCCAGGGAAAGGACTGTTCCAATGGAAAGTAATGCCATTCGGACTCCATTCGGACTCCATTCGGCGCCAGCCACGTTCCAGAGGGCCCTCGATCGCGTGATTGGACCCGAAATGATGCCGCATGCGTTTGCATATTTGGGCGACATTATCGTAATCGGGAAAACACGCGAGGAACAGATGGACAACTTAAGAGAAGTGTTCCGACGGTTGAGAGCAGCGAATCTGAGGATCAACGTGGACAAGTGCGACTTCTTCAAAAAGGAACTTAAATACCTTGGCCATCAGGTGACCAAAGAAGGGATACGCACGGATCCGGAGAAAGTAGCTGCTATCGCCGAGTTGAAACCCCCTGGAAACATAAAGGAACTACGGCAGTACCTAGGAGTGGCATCATGGTACAGGAGGTTCGTACCAGATTTTGCCACAACAGTACACCCATTACACACACTATTGAAGAAAGGTACAAAATGGGAATGGACCGGAGAGCATCAAGAAGCTTTCGAAAAAGTCAAAGCTAAGCTAACACAATTCCCTGTGCTAGCATGCCCAGATTTCTCAAAGCCATTTTGCTTGCAGACGGATGCTAGTAATTATGGCTTGGGAGCGATACTGACCCAAGACTCAGAGGAGGGCGAACGGGTCATATCGTATGCAAGCAGATCTTTAAATGGTGCGGAGCGTAACTACTCTGCGACCGAAAAAGAGTGCCTTGCAATAATCTGGGGCATAAGGAAGCTACGACCTTACCTGGAAGGATACCACTTC